ATTTTTTTTTTTTTTTTTTTTTTTTCTCTGTGTCACCTGCCGATACCAATTTTTGCCAATCAAAAATCTGACCGCATATACAAACACCAATGTAAGAATCACATCAGATTCTTACATTGTTTCAATTAATTCAGTTAGAATAATAAGAAACTATAGAGTTTCAAATTAAATCAGTATCAACAAACTCCATCTTTCCACTGCAGGAAACACAGAAGCTGCATCTTTTTCAAAATGCAATGATACTTTTAAATATGAAACCAAACCAACAGCGAGGGGTGTGCGATATTGACAAAAAAAGATATCTCGATATTTTCTGGGATTTTATCGATAACAATAATTAGATGATATTTTGCTGAGTGTATTGTTGTGCTGATATCTTAAGGACTACCGTGGACTGATTCTTAAAGTTTTTGATTTTCTTCATATTCTGTGTGGTGGTGAGTTCTCAGCAGTGATAGAAATTAATATTTTCCAATAAGTTTAAATTGAATGTTACCTTTTATGAGCAGTTTTACCTTTATGAAGACATTTTTTCTAAAGGTGTGTATCATCTTTTGAGTCAAATTCTTACATTTAAGCAGTCAATTAGAATAATAAGACATTTGGGCTGTTACCAGGCAAATGAAATCAGTATCAACAAAATTCATCTTTTCAATGCAGAGGAAACTTACCAAACTAGTTGTTTTTAATTAAAGGAATCAGTTATTTAGAATAATAAGACATTTGGGCTGTTACCAGGCAAATGAAATCAGTATCAACAAAATTCATCTTTGCAGTGCAGAGGAAACACAGAAGCTGCATCTAAAATGGTATTTAGATGCATTTACACACTGTTTCATGCAGCTCGGGGGGACATGGGATGCTTTAACCTGCAGTTACAAATGCATAAATAATGTTTTGATTAAAACCGCCAGTAGGTGGCAGCAAGTCACCATTAATAAGTGAGTCATTGCAATTGAACCGAAGCCTTTAAACGGTTGATTCATTTGGACCAAAACACCATCATGTTGCTCAAATAGAGCAAAAACAGGCAATATGGTGTCTAAAACACAAGTCTCTTAATATTAAATTCTTGTTTATTGAACTGTTGTATAAAATCAATATCACATTTGTAATCATGCAGAAAAAAAAAGCACTGATATTGTTTAACTATATGAATATATGCATATATGCATTCTCTGCTCCCATATCTTGAATTTTGTGATCATTATTTAAGCATTTTTAAAAACTGAATCATGCAGTGAAAGAATGCACACTAAATCACACACGCACTAGTCTAACCTACGAGACTTTATTACGTAACGTATGTGTGCACTCTGTAGGTTTGGTTTTTGCAATATACTAGATAACGTCAAATTGCACATCGTTAAAACAACAATTACGATATTATCGCTGACGATATATATCGCACACACCCCTACCACCAGCAGGTCAAGGCAAGTGACTGTCTTTGTGAATGGGCCACTGAATCATTGACTCACTCGATTCGTTCAAAAACGTGGATTCATTCAGTAACGAAACACCGCTGTGTGTTGCTGGGAGACACAACAGTTCTGCTGTGGCTTTGATTGAAACTATCTTCGTCAGCAAAATTGAGCAAAAGCAGTCTAAAATGTAAGCCCTTAATTTTAACTTCTTGTTTATTTAACCACTATTGTATAAAATCAGTGTCACATTGCAATAGTGTTGATATTCAGGGAAACATCTTGGTCGTGTAATGTGTAATCGTTATTTTTGTTATTGACATTTTAATCAGGCTTCTTATCCGGTTGGACAAGTAAAATTCTTCTCACTTGCCCCTGTGGTGTTTCCACCACGAGTTACTTTGGTCCTACACGTATTACAAATTGTGAACTTTTGGCGCTTTTCCCCTGCGTGGTACGGCTCGGCTCGGTTTGTGTTTCCACTGCAGTTTAGTACCGCGTTAGAGTGGGCGGGATTATTCACATGTCATTATAGTTGCGCCGCCTCTATTGCCATGACTCCTGAAAAACGTTTTCATTCCGCGTCGCCCCATCAAGCTCTCGCTGGATCCGCTCCTCAGCTATCAACGAGAGGAATGTGTGTACTTCCTCAACAGACCATGAAGCCATTTTTTGGCTGTTAAAAAAAGGTGCACTCGTTCAAAACAGTTGCGTTCGATCTTTCGCTGGCTGCGCTGATTTAAATCTAGTGGGTCTGTTGTGTCTCGTGTTGCAAGTTCAATGACGCAGGTAGTGACGATTCTATGCAGCCTAACTTATAATATTAACATTATAGAAATATTATACCTAAACAATATTAACTAATAAAATAACAAATAAATGCAAATATATTATAAATAAATATTAAAGGATTAATTATTATCCATATATTTATCTTTCACTAGGGTGGTGCTCCTTCTCCATTTGACCGTAACTTTGGGACCAAAATCGCTGCCAAGGCCATGCAGTGGATCACCAAGAAGCTGAATGAAAGCTACAGAAAAGGTATGAAAGTCAACAGTCATGCGCTTCATGTGGTCATGAAACAAACTTTACTAAAGCTCTCATTAGAACTCACTCAGCACTCAAGCTTCTGACTGAGCTGTGCTGTTGTTCACGAGGCACTCAGTAATTGTAATATTGTTAAAGCGTAATCATAACTGCAGACATACACCTCAGTAATCAACATAATCCTTGACCTTGATTTACTTGATTTTGAAATATTATTGTAGAGTCGCTGTATTGTTTCAGCTCAGTATTATGTGTGTGGGTGTGTGTGTGTGTGTGTGTGTGTGTTTTTATTACTTTTGCTGTGCCTGTGGATGAATAAAGATGAAGGTAAAAATTTGTATTTTAATCAGTCTGATTTGGTGACCTCAATATATATATATATATATATATATATATATATATATATATATATGTGTCAATGACATGATGCCTAAATTTTTTAAGCTGTCAATAGAACTCAATCACCACTTGACCTTCTTTTTGACCTGTGCTGTTGTACACGAGGCACTCAGTATTTGTCATATTGTTAAAGCGTAATAATGACTGCACACATACACTGCAGTACTCAACATAATCCGTGATTTACTTATTTTGAAATAATACCGTAGAGTCGCTGCATTTTTTCAGCTCAGTTTTATGTGTTTTTATTCCTTTTGCTGTGCCTGTGGATGAATAAAGATGAAGGTAAAACATTTGTATTTTACTCAGTCTGATTTGGTGACCTCACTAAAAGATGATTTATTAGTGCATTTCTGTGGTGTAGCTTGTGTAATTGTAAATACATAAATATGGATTATTAATATATATTCTTTGTGGATTTCCTCTATATTTCTATATTTCCATTTTATTTTATTGTGTTTATTTATTTATTTCAATAGGCCAGTTCACTCTTGTAATTGTTCCAATATATAATTACCACAATATACTACATATATTAACTATTAACTATTAATATACTAAGCTATATAAATATTATTATTATTTTAATCTGTGGATTTCCACTATATTTTATTTAGGCCAGTTTACTATTGTAAATATTCCTATATAGTATCTATAATTACTGTAATATAGTATAAATACTAACTATTAATATACTAGGCTATATACATTTAATTAGGATTTTTTTTATATAATCTGTGGATTTTATTTTATTTTAGCCACTCCAATATTCCAAACATTCCTATATATTATCTATCATTAATATAATATACTGTAAATACTAACTATTAATATTCTAGGCTATATAACTAGAATATTATTGTTTTTAATCTGTGGATTTCCATTATTTTTTTATATGTATTTATTTTTTAAATGTAATTTTTATTGTGGATTTACTTTTTTTTTTTTTATTATTATTTTATTTTATCCAGTTCACTATTGTAAATATGCCTATATAATATCTATAATTACTATAATAGACTATAAATATTAACTATTAATATACTAAATTATATAAATGTAATTTTTTTGTTTTGTTAATCTGTGTATTTCCATTGGATTTTTAGTGATTGTGTGTTGAATCTGTGTGTGTTGTGTAGGGAGAGTGTTTGCTAACACAGAAGACTCGGCCTGTTTGCTGGGCATGCGGCGGCGTGCGATGGTCTTCCAGCCTGTGGTTCAGCTCAAAGACAAGACCGACTTTGTGTAAGTACACACCACAGTTCTTATATTCTCAAACAGGATCAAATATTTTGTATCTGTAATGATATTAGACCTTCTCTCTTGTGTGTTCAGTCACAGAATCCCTAAGGAACAGTGGTGGCTGAAGTTACGTCCACTCATGAAGATCCTGGCCAAGTACAAGACCAGCTACGATGTGTCAGACTCTGGACAGCTGGAACATGTGGTCCTCAACCGACCCAAAGAGTCTGAGGCCATGGCTGCCATTTAAACGCATCCAAACAGTGGCGCTGTTCAAAGGTCACGCTTTAGACGGGCCGTCTGTCCTGCGAGTGCTGTCCTCGACACTTTTGATCTCTGGGCCTCAGCAAATTGTTCTGTCAACACTTTGTTTGAAAAATGTCACCCACAGAAATCAATGTTAATCGTAGGAGAGTGTGAGAAGCAGTGGCGTTTCGTTTTGCTGTTTTATGTCCTTTGCTCCTGTCGCCCCGCTGTCACCTCGTCACCTTGCAATAGTGTTCCGCTTCAAAGCACATTTCTCTCTCTCTCTCTCTGAAGTTCTCGGAAAGAAGTAAAAATTCCTCGTTCCGGTGTGAAGTCCACATTGCTAGAGCACCGATTGATGTTTGAATGTATTGCGTCATCAAGTGTTAACATTTGCCTGACCAATAAAGACCACGATCACATGTGTGGAAATCTCTGTCTACTGTCTGATTATACACATCACCCTGGTTATTTGACTTGTGCCATGGTACTCGTATTCTTTGAAGTACCATGTAATGAATATTGCAGTATAAAAATACCACGGTATATTGTGGATTTACTTTTTTTTTTTTTTATTATTATTTTATTTTATCCAGTTCACTATTGTAAATATGCCTATATAATATCTATAATTACTATAATAGACTATAAATATTAACTATTAATATACTAAATTATATAAATGTAATTTTTTTGTTTTGTTAATCTGTGTATTTCCATTGGATTTTTAGTGATTGTGTGTTGAATCTGTGTGTGTTGTGTAGGGAGAGTGTTTGCTAACACAGAAGACTCGGCCTGTTTGCTGGGCATGCGGCGGCGTGCGATGGTCTTCCAGCCTGTGGTTCAGCTCAAAGACAAGACCGACTTTGTGTAAGTACACACCACAGTTCTTATATTCTCAAACAGGATCAAATATTTTGTATCTGTAATGATATTAGACCTTCTCTCTTGTGTGTTCAGTCACAGAATCCCTAAGGAACAGTGGTGGCTGAAGTTACGTCCACTCATGAAGATCCTGGCCAAGTACAAGACCAGCTACGATGTGTCAGACTCTGGACAGCTGGAACATGTGGTCCTCAACCGACCCAAAGAGTCTGAGGCCATGGCTGCCATTTAAACGCATCCAAACAGTGGCGCTGTTCAAAGGTCACGCTTTAGACGGGCCGTCTGTCCTGCGAGTGCTGTCCTCGACACTTTTGATCTCTGGGCCTCAGCAAATTGTTCTGTCAACACTTTGTTTGAAAAATGTCACCCACAGAAATCAATGTTAATCGTAGGAGAGTGTGAGAAGCAGTGGCGTTTCGTTTTGCTGTTTTATGTCCTTTGCTCCTGTCGCCCCGCTGTCACCTCGTCACCTTGCAATAGTGTTCCGCTTCAAAGCACATTTCTCTCTCTCTCTCTCTGAAGTTCTCGGAAAGAAGTAAAAATTCCTCGTTCCGGTGTGAAGTCCACATTGCTAGAGCACCGATTGATGTTTGAATGTATTGCGTCATCAAGTGTTAACATTTGCCTGACCAATAAAGACCACGATCACATGTGTGGAAATCTCTGTCTACTGTCTGATTATACACATCACCCTGGTTATTTGACTTGTGCCATGGTACTCGTATTCTTTGAAGTACCATGTAATGAATATTGCAGTATAAAAATACCACGGTATTTGAAAATGCCAATATTTTGGTACAAACCTGATTGATTGATGGATGGATGGATGGATGGAGGCTCACAGCAAGACGAGAAATCAACAAGTGCTTGTGGCAAAAGGGACTTTATAATATAATAATGATATATAACTATAATAATAATAATAATAATAAAGTCATTTATTAATAGCATTCGTTTTATTTCAGTATTGAAAATATAGATTTTTTTGTGAATGACGTATGCATGCAACTTTCTGTGAAATATGTCCCATCAGCTGTAAAATATAATTATTATATATTCATCATTCACATAAATAATAATTTTAAATAAATAACTTACAAGTTATTATTGAATAATTTTGAATAATAATAATTAATTATGCAATAAATCATTTTCAAATTAAAACACATACACACTCTGAACCTGCCGAATCACTTTACAATTATAACTTTTTAAACATTTAGAAGACTAAGGAATATTAGAAAGATAAGTGAATAGTTTTAAATTGCTGCACACACAAATTCATTTTTTGTTGTTTTATATTATTACTATTATTATTTTTAAGGGGTTGGGGGTTTTGCATCAGGTTATTTTATTATTATTTTCTTCGCAACAGGGATGGGATAAGCGTGTTGTTATTGTTTTTCCACTAAGAAAGAGATATTTCCCTGTCTGTCCAGTGTTAGTTTCATCCTGCTCTCTGACAGTAAGTGGCATGTTGGAGCTGGTGCATCAGAGCTGCTCTCACTGGGCTCGGCCTGGTCTTGTTCTTTTCTGACAGGAAGTGACATGTCTGGGTTTCCCTTTTTTTTTTTTTTGTTCCACACTCTGGAAGAAAGTGACCTTTAAATGGCTGGTTACTGACAATATAGCCATTCATTACTGGCATCAAGCGAGGAATTTGATACAAAACTATAATCCATGCTCTGGCTGTTCTTCATCATTTACACTGTAGACACATCTGAACACAGAAAATAGAGCGCGCAGCTCCTCATGGCCCAAGTTGTGAGGCAAGTTTTGCCATGATGACTAATCCTTTTTTTTTTTTTTTTGATGGGACAGGATTGGCATTTTGCTTTGTGTGTTTTCCTCATTTGGCCTCATATATAGACACTAGACAGTCATTTAGCAGCACACCATCTTCCTAACTGTCTCTCAGCAGCCTTAAGTGCAGTATAATGGACAAAACCATTGGCTTTAGCTTCTCCATTACTGTCACAGATCATTCTGCTCGACAGAACTTCAACAAAGCGTGAGAAAAGTGTCCTTCAGATATGCACTTCACAACTCACCAGTAGTAAGCAATCTGGGTACTTTACGTTTTGGGAATACTGTAAATCTGGACATACTGCTCTTTCCACATACGGTTTTTATTCACTTACTATATATTAGGGAAGTATGTGATTTCAGATGCAGCCATGAATGAATCGGTTCAATGAAAGTGACCACCACCTAAGTTTCATTCGTAAAAGAATTCAATTTTTTCTGCATTCAGTATTTATTTTGAAACTATTATCTAAACACAATCACTTATATGCAAAACTCAGATTTAGTCAAATGTTTTATAAAGTCTGTATTGCGTGCTACAGTGATGTGATTGGCTGCTGATCCAGTAGGGGGCAGCAGTGCATCTTCACACTAAAGCTTTGAGCACGTGTTCTGCAGCATGGTCAGCCATGCGTCTGTCACACACACACACACACACCACAACTGCTTCTTGCCTCCTGATTTTCATTATACCGCCTGTGTACTCACAGCATAAATATATGCAGTATTGTTTGTAAATAAGTATCACATAATAAATGATTCCCCAGACAATTCAGAATCACAACCTCCTATTTGCTGAAGCAAAATCAAGTGCAGAGCAACGACCAATGCAGCAAACTTCACAAATAAAACCAGTTCACGCTTAAACGAATGCATCACAAGGGTCAGGCTGCATCGTTTGTCAGTCACTTTTTTATTCTTGGACGTATTTCATAGCCGCACACACACACTGGCTTACACATACAAAAAACGGGCAAATCCAATTATTTAAGTTGATTTAAATATGCAAAGCAAGGCCTGTGGGGTCATATGCACATAGGTAATCAATAGTAATTACCATTTCATTTCTCCCTTGTTATTTCCTTCCGTCTTAAATCAGAATCTGATCTGATCGGACTGATTGAGCACAATGGATGGACGGCTCGTTTGAGGCTCCATATCAAGCCCAGACGCGTGGACTTGCCCGACTTGAACTTCATTTCATACATCACTCCTCTGAAACACAGCGCTCCAATTAAACTCCAGGCCTGGATCATTCTAGTGCTCTGGAAAATAGAGCACTTCCATTAAAGAGACGCTTAATTCAGGCACCGTGAATGCTTTGTGCTGCAGATTTCTGCCTTTGATTCCACACTTATATGGATTTCTGGAGAAAGAAGTATGATCCCGAATGATATTCCTGTGCAGTAAACAGTGAACGCCCAGAGTGGTAAAAATAGATTACTTGAAAGCCACTGCGATAACAATGGTAATGTGAAACAATAAATCTCGGTGTGTAATATTAGAAAAGCAATATTTCTCTTTCAGATAAATCATGAGTGTGTGTGTGCGTGACATGTGGAGGATGAATATTTATGAAGGAATAAATCCATGAAAAAATAAACTGGCGTAATGTTCCAGCTTTTGCAGCTCGATAAAATGTGAATGATGAACGTGGGACTTTTTGAAGCTTTCTTGCAGGCAGATTGAACAAATCTCTACTGTACTGTACGCTGTACAGTATCTGACGCTGGATGTTTCATTGATTAAGGGCCGTACGCTTCACTGCTTTCTCGTCTGTTATTGGAGATGGTATCAAGAGCCTTATTACTGATCTGCTCTCCAGCACTTGCTTAAACAGAGAAGAAAAGGAACAATGCTTTTTCATATTCATCAGCTGGGCTCAACTTATAGATTTTTATTTTTTTTTGCTGGCCCAGGGCAGTCAGTAGTTTAGATTTGTATGTGCCATGGTATAATTTTTATTGGTCAAAATTAAATGTTTTGCTATTTTTCTAAGCAAGATTAGCAGGAACACGATAGAAGCAAGATTTCTTTGAAAGGTAATTGCATAACAAATATAAAACGTATTATAATGGTTTTCTAATTTGGAATAATAGCCGTAATTTGTTTTTGAACTCCGAACAGGGCACTTAACAGTCATAAATTCATAAACTCCCAACATGAACCCATGCCCTCCTGGCCCTCCTCCTTTAATGATATTTCTCACGGTTTTGGTACGGTTCGGTATGTGCTATGTTTAGGCAAAAAATATACTGTGAAATAAAAATAAAGAAAATAAGAATAATCTATCTAACTACAAGCAACAGCACAAATAAATACAATAGAGTAAAGATACAAATCAAATAAACAGTGATTTTCAGTTTTTTTTAGGTAGGTCTAACATTAGTTTTCAGGTACAGAAATTGAATAAAGTAATGAAATGTAAAACAGCATTGCATATTTGACTGTATAAATTAAAGATTAATCTTTATTAAAGTTACAAAATCTATTCAATCAAGAGCAGTGAGTGATTTCCTTGTTGTTGTTGTTTGATTAATATTAAGAAAGTGCTGTCACTTTAAGAGAATGCACTGATCCAGTGCACTGATACAGTACGTTCAGCCGGCTATGTCTGCTATAGGATACTTACCAAGACGGGCATTTTGACATCATTTTTGTGTGAATTTGTCAATTTAAACACAATACTTCAGAGCAAGCTTAATATTTGTGCGCGTTCTGAGGCACGGGTTTGC